TATCATTTACAGTAGTAGTACAGAATAGTGACTATTTGACCAAGGCTAATTCTCCAGGTCTTTTGTTATCTTTTAAAACATATTGCATTTCATTTCTACCAATACTCAGTCCAGGTCCTGGTTTACATAAAGTGATGTTGTCGGTGTAGGAGAAATGAATAGTGTTCTGAGGGAAGTGTAACTAAAATCAGTTACGTAAGTAAAACAAAGATTATGATGTCTTCATACATGACAACCCAGAACAATGCAGGCTTGCTTGTGGAAGGAGTACTGGATTGGGAGGGCAGGATCTGAGTTCCACCACCAACTAGCAGTGCTTCTTTGGGAAAAATCACAGAATTGAAAGATGAATTCCTCAACTGAACTAGATCCATCTTTTCTAAATTCACCAAGATGTAAGAATTCACCTAGGGTGCTTGTTCAAAAAACAAATTTCTCGCCCTTAGTCCAAACCAAAAAGCCAAACCAGTTGCCATCAAGTCGACTCCGCCTCGTGGTGACCTCACATGTGTCAGAGTAGAACTATGCTCCATAGGGTTTTCAGTGGCTGAGTTTTGGAACTAGATCACCAGGATTTTCTTCTGAGGCACTTCTGGGTGGACTCAAATCTCCAACATTTTTGTTAGCAGTCAGTGAGTTAATTGTTTGTACCTCCAGTGATTCCAGACTTACTAAATTGGAATTTCAAGGGAAAGGATCTGGAAAACACACATACACACACACACACACACACACACACATGCACACACGCACCCTGTGTGATTTTTTTTTGAATGCTGAATTGAGAAACCTCTACTGTCTTATATGCTATGATAAACCCGGATGCTACGTATCACCCTTGGAGGTACAAAATCTGAAGATAAAATATAGTCTTCATATGTACACTTAGTATTTTTATAAATATTCTGTATTTATTTTTTGAAAAGTTACTGAAGTTAATGTTATGATTTGTGTTTTATGAACCTAAGTATTCTTCAGATTTTTCTCTCTGACTTACTGACTTGAATATCTGACCTATTTAGCTCATGATGTTCTATTGAGGATAAATGAGATCAGGGTGTGAAAGTTTATTATTATTATTGCTGTTAGTAAAATAACAACTGTCAGACTCTTGCTTTTATGAATTTGATAGATCTGCTAGTCTCTCTATTGGTAAAAGTCCAAACAAATAAACGTAACACAATTTTGTCTTTATTGATTGACTGAATCATTCAAAAAGTTTAAGTTCCTATTATGTACAAAGGATTGTTCCGGGGTAGGGAATACTAAAATGTTTAGCATTACTTTCCTTTATTATTTTTTTCTTGAAAATCTCTCATTTAGTGATACTTTTAAGTGAATAACATGTTTAGCGATCTCATCAATGGATCAATGCGTTAAAAACTAACAATCCATATAAGATATGTTTATTTGGTTAAGAGAGAATGCAAGATACACATATCAAATAGAGGAGCCTGGCAACAAACCCATAGATCCACAGTCATCTGTGGCCCACAAATTAGTAACTATTGTTTTTTTCTCGCCAGAGAATCCTTTTCCTTTAAACTTAGGACTCCTTTTCCTTTTTTTCATGATACGTCGTTGTATTAAAGATGAGTTACATTAACATCCCAGTCCATGAGTTCAAATCTGAACAGTGGCACAGACCCATGTAGCAAGCCCTTGGTTGTGGAAATAAACAGTGTCAAATTATATTGCACAGTACTCTGCAACAACAACAGCAACAGCCCGTTGCTGTTGAGTTGATTCTACTCACAGAGTAGAACTGCTCCATAGGGTTTCCAAGGAACTCTGCAGTTAACAAAAGTCTTTCACATCTATAGTTTCATTTGTTCCTCCCAATAATCCTCTGATACAGCAGGGAGGTCCTGTGAGATGCCCAGAGAAGTTGGAGGAGCCAGGAATAGAAACTGGGCCTCCTGGCTCTCAGTCCAACGCCCTTTCCCCTTCTCCCGAGATGTCCCTGTGATTCCGCAACATGAGCCTCAATGGAGCATGGGCTCCTCTGCATGTCTGTCCGGGGAGTCGTGTGTTGCCGTAAAGCTATGGGAAGAAGGATTCCAGCTAATTCTCTTAGATGTTATGCTATTTCTAACTCTCATGATCTCACAGATCTGTCTCCCTGCCCTATTCCAGTGTACTCTTTAAGGCAGAGTTAACGTTTTCTGACTCAAGAACATAAACCTTGAGTACGAGGATGCGAATCCATCATCTTGTTTAATCCTTATAGCAACAAACACATTTATTAAGTCACATTAAGTTATGAAGGTTTAATGTTAATACAGGAAAGAGTAAGCCCAGCAGGGAAGCAAGAATGTTAGAATTCTCCTTTGATCCCCCACTCGTCCCCGTGATTCCATAGTTATCTAAAGACAGAGTGGCAGGAGCCTCGTCACCCTTGATCAGGAGAAACCAGGGAAACTAACCTGGCTGCAGGGGATAAAATCACCCCCGGCTTCACTTCAGGGCACCAAACGCAAGCTCCACTTGGAGTCAGACAGTAATTTGTGCTGGTGTCTTAGTTTCCTATGGCTGCCATAACAAATCACAAACTGGGTGGCCTATAAGAACAGAAATTTATTGTCTCACAGTTCTGGAGGCTAAGAGTCCAAATCAGGGTATCAGTCATGTTGATTCCTTCTGAGGGCTCTGAGGATTCTCTCTCAGCTTCTGGTAGCTCCCGGTATTCTTCGACCTGCAGCTGCTATTGTCACATGGCACCCTTCCTTTGTATCTCTGTTGCTGTGTATTTCCTCTTCTTTTACAAGAACACCAGTCATATAGGATTAGGATCCACCCTACTCTAGTATGACCTCATGTCAACCTAACTGATAACATCTTCAAAAAATGTTACAGATAGTCCTCAACTTACGACAGGTTCCATTCCAATGACTCTGTCCTAAGTCAGTTCTGACATAAGTTGAGTACCTCTTTTTTTTTTTTTTTTTAGTTTTCATTGTTATTGCCTTTTATTATCAGTATCTTTATAAATATTATCTTTATTTGTCTTTAGGGCTTGCAAACATTACATATAAAGTTACAGATATATTTTAATACATACATAAAAAAAGCGATCCACATTTGGGTCCATGTTTTCAAGCAACTGAAGACCATGACTTAGTTTAGAAAACTAAATCTATAAGGCAGTGTTTTGAACAGTAAATCATAAAACTGAACATCTGGAAGTGAACTTCTGAGAATGATAACATCAGCAAATTACACACCGCAACACTGTATGTAGTATATATTACTAATGATAAGACATACCAAAAAAAAAAGAGTGGTCGTTTAAGTGTGATTTGCCATAACTCTAATATGTTGTAAGTCAGGGACTTCCTTATTTCCAGACAGTGTCACATTCATAAGTATAGGGCTTAGGACTTCAACATATTTTTTTTGAGGGACACAATTTAATCCATAACAAGAGGTATCAGGTTCCCAAGCAGATGTACTTGGGAATTAGAGTGGGCAGGTAGGTGGCCATAACCTAAAATAGGACAGGAGCCCAGGTTTAGGGGTTAGGGTCCTATAGGCCCCAAAAAGAGAAAGTGAGGATATGAATGTAATTTTGAAAATATATTTATGAAGTCAGATTACTATTTTATGGTAAAAATAGATTATTTACATGATTATTTTCCTACCCTAGTGATTCTGGCTGGAATCAGGCAGTCCAGTGAGGTCCACCAACCAGATTTAGCAAAGAAAAATACAGGATGCCCAGTTCAATTTGAATTTCAGATAAACAGCAAACGATTATTTAGTATAAGTATGTTCCAGGTAGCATCTGGGGCATATTGTACTTATACTAAAAAGATTATTCAAATTTACCTGGACGTCCTATATTTCATGTGGCAACGCTAAGAGGGCCAAAATATTTCAGAGCCTTCACAGGACAGCACTTCCATTTTTTTCTGCTCCCACTTAAGAGCTCTGATTTTTTCCATCTTCTATGTCATTGTCCTGAAGTCTCCCGATCACAAGGTAGAGCTAAAGGCTGTTGTTGTTAGGTGCCATCGAGTCGGTTCTGACTCATAGAGACCATATGTACAATAGAACGAAACACTGCCCGGTCCTGCACCATCCTCATGATCGTTGCTATGCTTGAGCCCATTGTTGCAGCCACTGTGTCAATTCATCTCGTTGAGGGTCTTCCTCTTTTTGGCTGACCCTCTACTTTACCAAGCATGACAGCCTTCTCCAGGGTCCCTCCTGATAACATGTCAAAAGTATGTGAGACGAAGTCTCGCCATCCTCACTTCTAAGGAGCATTCTGGCTGTATTTCTTCCAAGACAGACGTGTTCGTTCTTCGGCAGTCCATGGTATATTCAGTATTCTTCACCAACACCATAATTCAAAGCCAGAGGAGGGGGGTCCATTTCCCAAATAATAGTATCTGTATTTTATTTCCAGCTTGCATAACTGAAGTTTGCTTTCACACAGACCTTTTCCACAGTAGAGTGCAGAAGGTGGCTTCTTTTGAACATTAAAACTGAATCTGGTATTTTCTAGATAAGAGGAAAAAGTGCTTTTCTCTTAAAATAGTTCTTTTTTTCAAAATTTGGCAATGTTCATTTCTTACAGTCAATTTGTGGAGAAGATGGTTTACAAAATTGTGAACCATCTATGAGTCACAAAGCGGTTACTGTCCAGCTGCTTCTGACTCACGGCGACCCCATGTGTGTCAGAGTAGAACTGTGCTCCCTAGGGTTTTTAATGGCTCGTTTTTGGAAGTAGCTCACCAGACCTTTCTTCAAAGACACCTCTGGGACTAGAACCTCCAAACTTCCGGTTAGCAGCTGAGCACATTACCGTTTGCACTACCCAGGGACGCATGCACATCTACAGGAACTCTTTACTCTCTATAAAACATTCTTTTAAAATATAAACCAGGAATTAAAAGTGAATTCTGCTTGTGTTCATTATCATGCAGACGTACGTTTTCTAAATCAAATAAAATAAGATTGAAAATATACAATTTGATTTCTTTCTTTCCACCCAGGTCCTGCACCCTTCTTAATTTTCTCTCATGGAAATGGTATCTTTAGGATTGACCCGGAAGGAACTAATCATGAGCAATTGGTGGCAGATGCTGGAGTATCTGTGTTCATGGATTTTCATTACAATCAGGAAAGAATCTACTGGGTGGATGTAAAAAGACAACTTTTGCAAAGAGTTTTTCTGAATGGGACAAGGCAAGAGGTAAGGTATCATTTCCCATAGTACTTGAGGGATTTTTTTTTTTTTTTAAATAGGCTGTCAAATCTGATATAGTGAATTCTTAGTGCAGAGATAAATTAAAATTACATTACAGTTCAAATGTGTGTCTGGCATATGTAGGTATATATTTAATCCACATCTCTACTACTGTGTTATTGAACATGCCTACAAGTGTGGCACTGACATTTAGCGGCTCTCAAAAAGGAGAAAGTGAGGATGTGAATGTGATTTTGAAAATATCTAAATTCTGAAGTTAGATTAGCAATTTACGATTTAAACAGATTATTTACATGAATATTTTCTACTCCATGGTTCTCAACTGGGGGCGGTTTTGCCCCCTAGGAGATATTTGGCGATGTCTGGAAATATTTTTGTTGTCACAACTGGCCAGATAGGCTGCTAACCACCCTATAATGCATAGGACAGCCCCCACAACAAAGAATTATCCGACCCAAGATGTTAATACCGTTGAGGTTGAGAAACTCTTCGTTAACCATATAAAATCATCGTCAAAGGTTTTCACCTGACATGTAGGACGGAGCCATTTTTTCTTTTAATTATAACAGTGTTTGCATTGGAGGGGGCCAGTGAAACAGACGACAGATACAAAGCATTTTACCTAAAGTACCTACAAAAGATCTTTAATCTTTCTGTTTAACTGGTAGAACCCTAAATGAGTCCCAAGAGGAATGTTCTCTCAAATCTTGAGAGATGGATTACAGAGATCACATGGTTAGAGAACCTTAAGCATTTCTTCTCAATACAAAGTGTCTACTGTTTTTTTTTTTTTTTTTTTAAAACCAAAGCTTTCTCCCACCAGTTATTCTTAAAAGCCTCAATTAGGTGTTAATCTGTTTGATCACATCTCTAATACTTGCTAATCTCACTTTTAACAAGGACGGCTCCTCATTATTCTCCAGCCATCTGTAGAATAGTTTCAAAACCTTGAGTCTAAGAATCTGGAGGGTTTCCTGTCACAGAGCAGGAAAAACAGTCAAAGAGTTGTGAATTTATGTCAATTCATCAGGAGAGGATAGATTGGCCTGTACCTAAAAGTCCACCATTTATTCTCTCCTTTGGGCTAAAACACTTTTTTATAAACAATAATTATTAAATGCAAATAATTTACCTGGGTGAGCTATGGGGTTGCCACGAGTTGGAATCATCTCCAGGGCAACTCACAACAATGTGTATCTTGGTAAATTAGCAATTGGTAAAATGGATCGGCTAGATTAATTTATTTGAGATTTAAGACTAGCACAGACAGTGGTGTGCTGACATCAGCTTGCACAGTCTCAGGAGAGCCAATTGCTTGATTTCTACCCAACTCCAGAACTAGCGGTGTCACATAAAAAAGCCCGTTGCTGTTGAGAGATTCTAACTCATAACCACCCCATAGGGCAGAGTAGAACTGGCTGTAATCTTGTGGAAGCAGACTGGAGCAGCTGGTGGGTTCAACCTGCCAGTCTTTCACTTAGCAGCCAAGTGCTTAACCACTGTACCTCAGGTCTCCTTAGTGATGTCGTATACCAAAAAACCAAGCCAATTGCTGTCGAGTTGAATTCTGACTCATAGCAATCCTACAGGACAGAGCAGAAATGCCCTGTAGTGTTTCCAAGGCTATAAATCTTTACAGAAGCAGACTGCCACAAAGCAGTTGGTGGGTTAGAACCACCGACCCTTCAGTTGGCAGTCAAACACTTAACCACTGCACCACCAGGGCTTCTTAGTGATGTCACACAGATTGCTTGAAATCAGCAACCGTGGGACTATTTACATCATGTAAACCTGTGACTCTGCAAACCAGGGCTTTTCCATCCCCCACACTCCCAGGAAAGTCAGTTTACCTGCCTACGGCTTGGATTAGAAAATAACAGGGTGTTGTTTGGTTGTTTTTATCCCCAGGGAGAAGGGAAACACTGCTCTAAGGGCATAAAGAGAAGCTCTGTTACTCTGACACAGCTTGAGGGCACTGAGGATCTTAGAAGGGAAGGGTCAGGATGGAGGAGGTGGGGCCAGAAGAAGAAAGAAATTCATCTACTTCATAGCTCTATGCACAAACTCCAAGGGAATCTTGCCAGAATTTGGCAAAGCTTGGTATTGGGTTCAGTGAGAATCTGGAAATAATTTCCATTATCCAATGGAATTAATAGACTGTCTTTTGCATCTAAATTCTGCTGTTACTATAGGTGAAATAATTAATATATTATGGTTGATCACTGTCTTAGGCTGGGTTCTCTAGAAAAGCAAAACCAGTGAGGCGTGCGTATATATATATATGTAT